AAGTAGATTGCCCAGTCTTCCTTCCGAGGAGTGGCTGGTGGGTTTGAACCACCAGCTTTCTGGTTAGCAGTCAAATGCCTTAGGTACTATGCCACCAGAGCTCTTAGGTGGTCTAAAACTGATTACAGGCACAGAATTTGCCCACATTAAATTGAGTCTAGCAATTGAAAAAGTGTTGCTTATGTTCCTGATTTTATAAGATAATTGTAGGAAGCATAAACCCACTCAAGGTAGAGCAAGTTTATTTATTTTTAATCTTGGCTCATTGTCAGAAGGTTAGGGAAATCTAACCAAAAGACTGGATTTTCTGAACATCCAGCTCTCAGGAATGCGAGACCAGGCCAATTCAGGGGACTCAGCTGCTGTAATATATGACCATTCATGCTAATTCTCTGCCATTAATGTGTCTTATCTCATCTACATATGCCAATTTCTTTCCCTCCTACTATAAAATGATTTATCCAAAGTCCCAGGGGAGGAATCTAGTTGACTTTCTGCTCAGACTGAATTGGTTGTTCCTATCAGGTAATGTCCAGGTTTCTAGTCTGGGAGACAAGTTACTCTGGTAAGCCTTGCTAAGGAACTGTGAGATGAAAGGCTGTATAGCAGAAGAGGTTGCACATGGTAGATGGCTAATATATCGAGTGAGGACATAATAAATAAGTTCATTAAAAGGAGCTATCCTGTTGGAATGTTCATAGAAGACTTAATGGAGAAGATGACTTTCATCTGGATCACAGAGATTAAGGTGGCTTTAGATAGTAAGAGCATATAGTGAAGCCAGAGGGTATTCCAGGTAGTGGAACAATTAAGCCTAATTGTATAGGTTCATCCTTGGCACACAGGTTGATCACACTGGCTCAGTGATCCTCACTTAACTGGTCATTAGAATCACCTGAGCAGCCCAGTATCAAAGCGTCAGTTCCAACCTAGACTGACTGAAAAGCATCTTTGGAGAATGTATAAGGTGATTTTGATGCAAAGAAAGGATTGAGAATAACTACAACTAGGGAGTACTATACAATATATTATGACCTTGTGAAATACAATTGGAAACATATGTTAGGAAAAGACTTAGAGACTTTCTGTATCAGGCTGTGGAGTTTCCACTGTATCCTGTAGGTAAGGTAGAGCCATCGAGGTTTACTATTTCATGGGGTGTCACTATCGTCAGAGCCTGGTATATCTGTTATCTGTTTAGAGTCCTTTTAGGACAGTAGACAAAGAAGTGAGTAGAAAGAAAAGTTTCAAGGTGGATTTATATGTCTGGGTATATGTGGGACAGCGCTTGTAATCTCAGTATGAGTATTATTTTAACATGGTCTCTCCTCTGTAGGAGTGTGTTCAAATTCCAGATTTCATATTCTAAGAAGAATATATTGATGTTTTTGTAACCATCCTTTTTTCTCTTTAGGGGTGTCGGCTGCATCTTTGTTGAAATGATCCAAGGGGTTGCTGCTTTCCCAGGAATGAAAGACATTCAGGATCAACTTGAACGAATATTTCTGGTAAATTCTTTAAATAGTGCTTTGGAGAAAGATTGTTGTTGTATAATTAGTCACCTAGAGACAAATTCCATAGTGGTCAGTAGAAAAATAATTTAAGACAAATTTATTTGTTGTCACATTTAGCTCCAACAGTTTCGGACCTTTAAGAAAGGAAAAAACTTGTTAAGAATTATGGTTTAAAACTTTGCCCATAAATAATATGGCAAAATAATAAGAAGGGGTAGAATTGAGAGGGAATATAGAGTAATGAGTTATAATTGAGGTTATAAGTGAAGTTTCCCAATAATTTATGTAGATATCCCTTCTTCAAGTAGGTAGAGTAGAACTCCCACCTGTTACCACTTTTCCCTCATCTGTGTGGTCTGCACCTAATAACTTTCTTCCAAAACATAGAATATGGAAAAGGTAGAAGTGGAGGGGAGAATAGTAAGATGAAAGAATCTGGCAAACACTATTTTTACCAGATTAAATAGTATTTACCCTTGATATGATGTGATAAGTATGGGATTTTACCTCTATTGTCTCCCTCCTAAAACCATAGCCTAGTACAATCATGAGACAGACATCCCACAATCCCAAATCTGCAAATCTGCCTGACCAAAGACCCTTCAAACTGACAAGGTCATCAAATACAAGAAAAGTTTGGGAAACTGTCGCAGCCCAGAGAAGCTACGAAGATATCGAAGCTAAATTTAATAGTAATCTGCATGGGATCCTCAGACAGAAAAAGTATATGAGGAAAAACTAGTGAAACCCAAGTGTGGAGTTTGGTAATAGTAATGTACCAATGTTGTACATAATAGAGATAGTAACAAAGTAAGATAGTAACAGTAGGATGAACTGAGTGGAGGGGTGTATAAGAACTAGCTAAACTATTTTTGTACTTTTCTATTTATAGATTTATCAAAAAATTTTCTAAAATTAAATGCTTATTTAAGTGAAAAAAACAAAAATATCCAAAAAAAAGAAAAAACAGTTTTCTGAAGTCAAACTGTCTGACATTAGTACCCTACTCTGTTACTTTTTAGCTGTGTGACCTTGGACATGGTGGGACGTTGCTATTTCAGCCTTGATTTTCCCATGAGAATAATAATAGCATCTACTTCATAAGTAATTTTGAGGAAGAATTGACTTAAAACACATAAAGTGCTTTTAGAACTAGGCCTGCCACGTAGTATATATTCCATAAATTTAAGTTACTATCATTATTTTTATTAAATTATTTTATACAGAATATTTGTATTCAATAGAATTTCCACAGTAGCCCATATTCATGTAAAGCATATTTTGTAAACATAGTATTAGAGCTAGACAAATAAAAATAATTATTAAAAAGACTCAAATTATATACATTATAGCAGCTACTACATTACACCTTTTCCTCACTTATCAACATGGTTACATTCCAAAGATCAGGTCGTTATGCAAAAATCAGCATTATGCAGAAGTGGAGGATGACTACATCAGATCACAAAGTGGAGGATGCGTAATGTCATTGCATAACTACCAAATTACATCATTACATAATTGCTAAACCACTGAGTCAACTCTGATTCATAGCAGCCCTATGTACAACGGAATGAAACGTTGCCCAGTCCTGCACCAACCTCATAATCCCTCTTATACTTGAGCCCATTGTTGCAGTCACTGTATCAGTCTATCTCATTGAGGGCCTTCTCCTTTTTCACTGCACCTCCACTTTACCAAGCATGATACCCTTCTCCAGGGAATGATCCCTTCTGAAAACATGACCATAGTAGGTGAGATGAAGTCTGGCCATTCTCACTTCCAAGGAGCATTCCAGCTGTACTTCTTCCAAGACAGATTTGTTAATTCTTCTGGCAGTCCATGGGACTTTGAGTGTTCTTTGCCAACACCACAACTCAAAAGCGTCGACTCTTCTTCAGTCTTCCTTATTCATGGTCCAGCTTTCACATGCATATGAGGCTACTGAAAATACCATGGCTTGAGTTAGTCTCTCCTCATCCAGAGCAAAGAAGAAGAAAATCAAAGATGCATGGAAACAATTAGTTCAAGGAACTGGTACACCATGTGTCATAGCCTGTATGACTATGAAACCAGAAGAACTAGATGGTGCCCAGCTACTACTGTCAACTACTCGGAGGGTATGTCTCTAGGAAATCCTGGATAGAGTGGAAGAACAATGTGGAACAAAACTAAAAATCATTTAAAGAAAAAAAAAGGGACCAGGTTTGCTGGTCTGGTAGAGCCTGATGGAACCACTGAGACTATGGCCCCTAGCTGCCTTTCAAGTCTGGAATTGAACCCATTCCCATGGTTTCCAACCAAAAAAAAGACAAGCATATAAGCTGAACACTTAATATTAGGTAGATACACTCCTTAGAGAGAACAATCATGGAAGAATAGAAGGGATGTGTATGTACAGGGAGACAGCTCAGGCGGCAGAAGTGCATGGAGTGGAAGGACACAGGATAGAGGTAACTATGGGGAGGAAGTAGGAGGGAAGCTGTTGCATTGTGGGAAATTGCAGTCAATTTCATGAGACAAAGTGTATGTGAACTGCTGTATGGAAAATGAATTGGCTCTGTAAACTTTCACCTAAATTACAATAAAAACTGGAAAAACATAAAGAAATATATTCTGAAAATAATATGCTAAAACTTGAGATTCCACTTAACTTTTCACTCTCTGGTAGCTTTTGAACAATAACTATGTAACTATGTGAAGTACTGATTATTTCATGCTAAAGTAATTAATTTGCTATATTTGAAATCAGAAGACTTCAAAAGGGAATCATATTGATAGAAATGTCTCCCTGTACACATGTTTTTAGCTGAATTTAAAAGGAAGGAAAATGATTATTATATCAATAAAGTATAGTATATCAATAAGGTATAGTTGTTTAGCAGTAAAGCCAAAAATGAGAGATTCATGAAAGCATAGATTATTGACAAAGCTTAATTAAAACTTTTCTTTTCTTTTGTTTTAAAAAAACAAGTTTATTTTAAACTTAACTATTTCCCAATAGGTAATATCTTCTGTGGAGATTTTGTTATTTCTTAATTTTATGGCAATAATTTTCATTCCCAGAAGTTTTATGGATATTCCAAGACTTCTGAGCTATATCAATAGGTTTTTAATAAGTCAAAGGAATAAATTATTGTAAATTTTCCATTGGAATATTGATATCCTAAATTGTCCAAGCACATATACACCCTTAAATGTAGCTATCCATCATGATTTATGGTAATAAAATTTTGATTTACTATAATTATTTCACTTGTGTAATGATTTTTACAGTCAGGAGCTAAAGATCATTATCTATGTAAAATTGCTGCTTCAAGATTAAATTATGTTCTTCCGGTAAGATAGAGGAATAGGCAGACAAGCAACACAGACACTCTTCAATAAAGAAAAGAAAAACCAGTTGACGGAAGATAATTCTGGATCCCTGAGCTTTGAAAAGAACTATACAGAAGTGGATTAGGCACCAACTAGTGGAAAAACCTGAACGAAAACAGTGCGTGCAGAGATGTTTGGAACTATGGACTGTCAGCTACTCTGACAGGACCAATAGCCTGAATATTTCCAAGTAGAGTTGGGACCTGAGAATTGACCTAAAGATCAGCCCTGGTCACCAAGGACTGCTCGGACAACTACGCTGGTGGCCTATGACTAAGAAGGGAAACACAAGGAGGGAAACAACCTCAGCTGTTGACTTTCCGCTGTCTGGAGTGTGCAGCCATTTTGATTGTTTACACGTGACAGCCATTTTAGATATTTAAAGTGACTGAGGGTGTAGCCATTTTGAATGTTTATAAGCGGCAGCCATTTTGGATATTTAAAGTGACCAAGGGCACAGCCATTTTGAATCTTTACAAGCAGCAACCACTTTGGATTTTAAAGTGATAACATTCTCATTTAGATTCCAGGGACCTAAGAATAGGCTCTGTTTGCCAAGGTTGGCAGCGACATACAAGAGGCTGACAACTGGAAAGGAGACAGGTGGTGAGTGTATAAGTGCTGCCAACTAGTGAATAGAGGAGCACAACACAGTATCCTGCTTGTGTAGATAACATACAAAGAAAACAAAAATCATGGGCAAGTCACTCCAACATAGAATCACCAATTAAATATAAACACAAAACATCACAATGCCTCGGAGACAGCAGAGCATCACAGTCCACACAAAGAAGCAAGATAAAGCAGGAGAAACAAGGGACCAGGATACAGACCCAAAACA